AACCCAGCCCTACTTACGATGAAACATTTCAGGGCAGACCCGGGCTATTCATTTCTTTAGTCATAGAAAACCAGAAGCCTGAGACCGAGGGTCTGTAGGTAAGGTGTGAACCTCCTCAAGAAGTTCTGCAAGAACAACCGTCTTGGGCGGGGAGCGGCACGGCGCAGAGCTCAGGGTCTCTGCTTGCTGCACCCAGAACCTTCAGGAGTGATCTTGCAGCGCCTCTGAAGGCGCCCCCCCCCCCCAAAGCAAAAGCAACAGCGAAACCCCCACAAAACAAGACAGCCCACCGCCAATCCTCGGGTTTCATATCCCCCCTTCCAGGAACTCTCACGGCATGACCCGTGATGAATACATCAGACTTCTTGGAGGCCTGTATAAGTTTCAGATGAAGGAGACCCTGTTTCTTCTGAAGTTTGGGCCCTGACTTCACCCAGCCTTCCCTTTGAAAGCAGGCAACAAGCATCTCTCCCGGCCCTTTAACCCTGCCTGGCTGTCCAGCCCACATGAGCTTCTCACAAGCCTGGGAGGCAAAAATGGAATGAGCTAGTCAGGTGGGCGAGAGCAGTTGATTTTCATCTTGGAATGAATAAATGCAGAGTACTACAGGCCAGCTGCTTGTAACCGTGTTGCTGTTCCCTGCTAATTTCACAGTCTGCATGCTGATCTTGGCGGTCTTTTGTCCACATGAGGATGGACAAACCAGTAATGAGAATCTAATCCCAGAATGTTTTGTGAACTCAAAGCTGATTCAGGTTGAGCCAGGTTTCCGGAAAAAGAAAGGGCTTCCCAGGTATCTCAGACCCGAGAGCATGTATGTCTTGGTCTTGCAGGCTCAGAATCATGCCCTTACAGTCTGGGCATTTGGGAGCCTGTGCCCATTTGAGGTCAATGGAATTGCAGGCCCAGGTCAGATCTCTTCTCTGAAACAGTGTGAGTCTCTCACAGAGGAATGGGAGCCCAAACCATCCGGTCAAACAGAAGGCAGCTTCTGGTCGGCCGTGCACACAGGTAAAAGGGTCAGTTTCTGGGCTGGGAATTCCAACCACCGTGCTCAAGAAAAAGAGCTGAGGCAGGAGTTTATCACCTAACTAATAAAAAGGGAAGCAGAAGCAAGAGAGAAAGGGGCAGTGTACACAGGCAGCTTCATAGAAGATTTCTGAGAAGTAGAAAATTGGGCCACTGGGCCTTTGAACTAAATTCGAACTAAATCGGGCCACTGGGCCTTCGAACTTCAGCCTTGAAAGTCGTGTTTTAAATAAGCAAGGAAAACATCTCCGAAATGATTCATGGGGAAGATGCTGCAAGAGGGTCACCAAAACCTGTCTCTTAAAAATAGTACGGATTAGGGGCTGGAGCAATAGCACAGCGGGTAGGGCGTTTGCCTTGCACGCGGCCGACTCAGGTTCGATCCCTGGCATCCCATATGGTCCCCTGAGCACTGCTAGGAGTAATTCCTGAGTGCATGAGCCAGGAGTAACCCATGTGCATTGCCGGGTGTGACCCAAAAAGCAAAACAACAACAACAACAACAACAAAAATCCCAAAAAGTATAGATAAGTATTTAGATAAGTGTTCTATATCACCTTTTGTACCACTGGAAATCAAACTCCGGCCTCTCACATATGCAAGGCAAGTGTTCTACTGTTGAGTCGCACCCTGAGCCCCAGGACTTTTGATGTTTTGCTGAGAGAAAATTGGACTAGAGCAGTGGTTTTCAAACTGTTCTGTGGAACTCTAGTTTTAATAAGAGATGTTTCAGGGTCTCCTATGTAGCTGGTTTATATTTAACTGATTTAAAAAGAAAAAAAAATAACTTTAAACCACATCATATAAACGTATTTTAGATTTTAACTTTTTTGTTTTGTTTTTTTTTTGGAGGGCCACACCCAGCAATGCTCAGGAGTTCCTCCTGGCTCTGTGTTCAGGGATCACTCCTGGCTGGGCTTGGGGGACTGTATGGATGCTGGCGATCAAACCTGGGCTGGAAACATGCAAGGGAAGCACCCTAACTGTTGTATTATTGGCCTAGTCCCTTTAGAAGGGTTTTTTGGGTTGTTGTTGGCTGTTTTGAAGTTACTCCTGACTCTGAGTTCAGAGATCACTCCTAGAAGGCCTTCAGGGACATATGGGATGCTGGGGATCGAATCCAGGTTGGCTGCATGCAAGGCAAGAGCCCTACCCACTGTACTATCAATACAGTCCCATTTATACTCTGACTTGTAAGAATAATTTTATTTTTCTGCAGTGCTGGGGACTGAACCCAGGGCCCTACACAAACAGGGCATGTGCTCTACCAGTGAGCTTACAGTCCCACTTCTTAAACTCATTTAAGGACCAATTTTTTTCTTTCCTCTGGGAATATGTATTTGCACAACTACTTGTAAATGCCTGAAGACAGAGGCACTTTTATTCATTTATTTAAATGCTGGCCCGCGAGCAATGCTCATGTGCTGGAGGGGACACTCTGGATGGCAGCGCTGGGCGGCCGGGCAGTGTGGCCCTGTCGGTGTGTCTCAATGGCCACGCTGCTTTTGTTTCCCCTCTGTCTGGGGACTCTGAATGAGCGCTAGTCTTTTAGGAATATGAGTTACTGTAAGATCTGTTAGTGATTCAACCATGAAAACACCTCCTACTGTTCTACTTGGACTCTTTAGTATCTCATTTGAACATATATTCTGAGATTTCCAAGGTCATTAAAAATCTGTTACTGGGCCGGAGAGAGAGTTCAGGGTTCAAGGTGCTTGCCTGGCATACAGCTGAGGGCAGCTCACTCCCTGCGCATAAGCGTAAGCCCTGAGCACTGTGGGTGTGGTCCCCTCCAAACCCAACAAAATTTAAAAATCTATGACCATTCATGGCAACTCTGTCTATTAGGGCACCCTCACAGAGCACCACTGGCTAAGTGAGTGTGGGGGTAACACCAACGTTGGTAACTGCACCAGAATTTGTATTTTCAAATTTGTGTTTAAGGACATCTTGGAGTCACGTTTTTTCATTTTACATTTGAAGTTGTCTGTGCTTGTAAAAAAATGGTCGTGCAATTCAAAACGACTTTAAAATCCACTTGTTCAGATGAAATTCATGTCCTAGAGGTTTAGGAAAAGGTATCACGGTCACGGTCCTCCTGTTGTTCATTGATTTGATCGAGCGGGCCCAGTAACGTCTCCATTGGAGACTTTGTTGTTACTATGTTTGGCATATTGAAAAGGTAGCTATCTAAAAATTTTGGCAAAATCCTATGCCAACTGCCATGGCATGTGTATTTTTTTCCTGGCCCTTGGCAGTAAGTAGCGTGGAAAACTGTGGCCCATTCCGGAATGAGGGACGCATGTTGTGGAGGTGCACACATGTGTGCTGTAGCGATCGGACCTGGCAGGGGGCTGATTCTCAGCACTGCAGGAGCAGGAGGGGCAGCGGGTCTTCGTTGAGAACTTGCTCGAGCTGGGAAATGCAGTACACACATCTGCAGAGCTACCCTGACTATGTGATGCGAGCAGAAGCAATCTGGGGAGGGCGAGAGGGAATGAGGATGGCCTCACACCCCCTCCTGGTACCTTCGGACGAAGGAAGGAAAGCAGCCGGGCACGGCCGCGGGGCCTATTATAGCTGGAAGCAGCACATTTCTGCTGGGTTCAGGCTCAGTCCCTCTCGCGGTCCGGCTTAACTCAGGGGGCCAAGCTGAGCACACAGTGCAGAAAGCAAAAGTGAGAATGGTGGGAGGGCTCTCACTGCTCCACTGGGAGCCCGGGCCCCTTTCCTGTGCCCAGACATCTCCATTCCTCCATACAGTGCTTGCCTTGAAGTCCCAGCTTCTTGGTTTACTGTCTGCTCTGGGGTTCAAGTGCCGGCATCTATGTGGCCTGGGTTCTCAAGCAGTAGCCCAGCACCAGCAGAGTCCCAAAGCCAAAGCTCTCCACATTCTCATCTCTCTGCCCATCCAGTCATTGCTCCTGAAGATTGTTACTGAAGCGACTATTCAGTATTCCTAGTCTTTCAGACTCAGAGAAGAAACCCCTGACATAAACCTCAGCACTCCATGATTTCATCTTGAAACCAGCCAGACACCTCCAAGTTAGCTCAGCACTAAGTTCTCCAGCCCTGCTCCAGCTGCCTCCTTCTGGCAGTTTACAGGCCTCCCCAGCCCTCTGTCACACGAGGAAATAAGACGGGGTCATGCAGCTCACCACCTTCTTTATCCCCAGCCTCACAATGTGCAGGCTAAGCCCAGAAGCTCATGCTCTCCAGGGCGCTTGAGAAAGCAAGGAGAAGGTCAGTCCGAGTCAGAGCCAGGCCACAGCTGAGGTTGCCCGGAGGGTTCAGGTCCTGAACCAACGGGCGTTGTGGAGCTGCAGGACCAAGGATGCCCCAGAGACTCCGTGCTCTCTCTGAGCCAATCCCCAGGGTCCTTGGGGAACGCTGGCTGGGACCACACTTCCTCTAGTGATCTTCCCCGGTCAGTCCCCTCCCCGGGTCTCCTCACCATACACCTGGCCTGCCGAGTCTCCCTGAGGGACAGTCTCCAGGACGAGAGTGTGACGGTCCCCCCGGGAAAGGGTGCTTCAGCACAGGAGGTGGGAAGGTACTCAGGGTGCGTCCTCAGTGCTCTGGGCAGCCTAAGAGTCAAAGGCAGGAGGTGCAGACAGGCAACAGGCCGGAGACCTGCTGTCCAGTTCTGTGATGGCTCCTTGTGGCACTATCTCCCTGATTCCCAGTTATTTTCTCCTAGGAAAACGGTCGGGCTGGGTGGCAGGGGAAAAAAGGCAGGCCCAGTGCTTGCATCAGCAGCACGGCCTGAGATTTCATGCTATGGGCTACTGGCTATCAGGGACATCACAGGAGGTGCTCGTTTTAGCAGGAAGCCCCAAATCTGAGAAGAGGGGACCCAGAGACTCGAGGAGCAGAAGCTGTATTCCAGGTGACGGCACAAACCCTGCTGCTGCAGGGGGCACGGGCGCGGGGGTGGGGGGCGGGGGGTTCCCAGGTGGCGCAGACAGTACCTGCCTCCCCGCGCAGGGCCTTCTCCACCGCAACCCCTCTCTCCTCCAGCTGCCTCTGCTTCTCCTCCACCTGCTCCAGCTGCCGTTGGATGATCTGTAGGAAGTCAGAACAGAACAAGCATCTGACTTTCTGTTGTCCCTTAGCTTTCAGGATGGACGACTCAACTGAACTGCAGGACACAACGAGGAGGAAAACCAAGGAAGTTCCAAAGTCGAAAAGGCTGTCAGGCCACTGTGTCCTGGGGTGCCAACTCTGCAGGCGCCACGGGGGCCCATCTTTCTTAGAGCAGTTCTGAGAGGATGCGGGTTTGAATGCTCAGAGGAAGGACTAAAGCACTTTTATTTCTTGTAGTAGTGTTCTGCAATTTTCCTTGTATAGGTCCTTCACCTCTTTGGTTAAGCTGATTCTGAGGTACTTATTTTCTGAGGTACTATTGCGAATAGGATTGTTTTCTGTTTTGTTTTGTTTTTTAAAAATTTTATTGAATGACCATGAGAAAGTTACAAGCTTTCATGTCTGGGTTACAATCGCACAATGATCAAACCCCCATCCCTCCACCAGTGCACATTCCCCACCACCAATCACGGATTGTTTTTTAATGTCTCTTTCTTCTCTTTTGTTATTTGTATATAAGAAAGCCATGGACTTTTGGGTGTTGATTTTGCAGCCTGCCACTTTACTATACCAACCAATTGTTTCTAGGAGTTTTTCTGTATCTCGAGGATGCAAAAAAACATAGTAGAAATGACACCTGTACCTATGTTCATTGCAGCACTGATCACAATAGCCAAAATCTGGAAACAACCCAAGCACCCTAGAACAGATGACTGGCTAAAGAAACTTTGGCACATCTACATAATAGAATACCATGCAGCTGTTAGGAGAGATGAGGTCATGAAATTTGCTTATAAATGGATAGACACGGAGAGTATCATACTAAGTGAAATGAGTCAGAAAGAGAGGGACAGACCTAGAAGGACTGCACTCATTTGTGAAGTATAGAATAACATAACATGAGGCTGACAGCCATGGACAGTAGATACAAAGGCCAGGAGGATTGCCCATAGCTGGAAGCCTGACTCATGAGCTCATGAGCGGAGGGGAGAAGGCAGCTGGAATAGAGAAGGGATCACTAAGAAAAAGATGGCTGGAGGAATCGGTCGGGATGGGAGATGTGTGCTGAAAGTAGATAATGGATCAAACATGATGACCTCTCAGTGTCTGTATTTATTGCAAACTATAATGCCCAAAAGTAGAGAGAGAGTATTGGGGAATCATGTCTGCCATGGAGGCAGGGGGAGGGTGAGAAAGGGGGGGATACACCGGGGATAATGGTGGTGGGGAATGTGCACTGGTGGAGGCATGGGTGTTTGATCATTGTGTGATTGTAACCAAAACATGAAAGCTTGTAACTATCTCACGGTGATTCAATAAAATTAAAAAAGTTTAAAAAAATAAAAGAAAAAGAAAAAGGACGAAAGCATTGAAATCTGGACTTCTGACTGTGCAACTCCCGAGTGCTAGTCACGAGTCTCAGAGAACACTGAGAAATCCTGTCTCCAGAACATAAAAAAAATCTCTATAAAGGAGGAGTGAGCCGAGTCTGTTTGGAAATAAAGTGAGAAATCTCTTGGCCACGTGGGGGCAACAGTCAAAGATACTGATCTGTAAAGAATGAAAATCATATTCAGAGAACGAGGAAACAATAATATATAAGACGAGAATGAAAGATGGGTGTTTCTTTTTTGGGGGTGGGTGGGGTACAGCCATCCCTGGAGATGCTCAGGGAACCGTATGGGATGCCGGGATCAAACCAGGGACAGTCACATGCAAGGCAAAGGCCCTACCCACTATACGATTACTCTGGCCTCTACTTTCTTGTATGAAGAAATGACATCTTGTTTAAAAAAAAAAAAATCCAGCATCAATGAAGCCTGTGCAGACAGAAGCTCAATGGCACCAGGGCCAGGCAGTGAGAGGCCACAGGCCAGCTTAGCTCTTGGGAACAGCACTAGTCGATTTTACAATGATCATTCTACACCAGAGCTTCCCAAAGTGGGCGACATCACGCCCTGGAATCATTGTCTCAGATGCAACTGAGAAGTGCTAACTAAGTTTTCCTTGGAAAGGGGGCATGGCGGTAGGCCAAATAAGCCTGGGAATTTTTTTTTTTTTTTTTTTTTTGCTTTTTGGGTCACACCTGGCAATGCACAGGGGTCACTCCTGGCTCTGCACTCAGGAATCATCCCTGGCGGTGCTCAGGGGACCATATGGGATGCTGGGAATTGAACCCGGGTCGGCTGTGTGCAAGGCAAACGCCCTACCCGTTGTCCTATCTCTTCAGCCCCAAGCCTGGGAATTTCTGCTGTCAACCCAGGAATTTAGGAAACTTAAAGCCTGACTTCCCCTCCTCTCCCAACAACCCCCCCTAAAACATGGCCTCGGACGGGGGCTCCTCTCGGCCCCACAATGCCGGCCTCTGCTCTGCCGTCACCCTCCTGGCTGTGCGCTGGACACAGCCCTGGGCAGCGGGGATTCCTGAGCAGGTTACAGCCCGGAGACTGTGCCTTTACCTGGGCTCGGTGCAGCCGCTTCAGCTCCTCTTGTTTGGCTTGTCTTCGGGCCGCCTTCTGCACGCGTCGGGTCAGCTTGGAGTTCAGTTCCTCCTCGGTGTAGGTTCTTGGCTGGAGAGAACGAGACAGGTCTCCTCAGTCAGGTGCGCACAGATCCCTGGGTCTGGACAGGGGGACAGAGGTGTGGCAAGGGCGAGGGGCAGGGCCATGGCGGGGTCGGGGCTCCGGGGGCAGGTGCATGGCGAGTGCTGCCCCTCGAGTGGGGCATTTTTTCTTTAGAGTCTGCAGAGCAGACAGGGTGTGCGGGGGACGCAGGCCGCAGCTCAGCCACGGCTCTGAGCTGCTGCCCTAATGCCCCAGGGACACTCCGATCTACAAGTGAGATACTTCCCCTGCGACTAGGACTGACTGTTAGGAAGCAACAATGACAAAGGAGCGAAAACCCGCGGCGACCACCTCTCCCTCACAGAAGCCTGCCTCCTCTGTTTTCGTTTCGGGACACTGCAGGGGTGAAAGCATTGGCAAACGTTTCCTCCAGTTTTCTGCTTCTAGGGAGCATGTAGGGAAAGAGAAGAAAGGCCAGGATCCTTTAATTTTGTTGTTGTTTGTTTGGTATCAAAAGCCACGTTCTTCAGGTGAACAATTTTTATATGGTTCTTTTAAGGGGGAACGTAGGATGCTTCTGCAGTGATCACCAACCTCACTAATACAAATAAGGGAAGTGGGGGTGGCCTGGACAGACGTGGGCCTGCTCAGGGGGCAGGGTGGCAGGTGGGCTGTTGCAGCAGCATCCTCAAGAACCACCAAGGTCATGTGCCGGATGAATCCAGGGCACTGCCACCTGCAAACCTGGGCAGGAAGGGCATGAAGGCATGTCCAATGTCCAGATTAAAAAGGGGTGACCATTGAGAGTCTGATGCTGTGGGTTGCTGCTGTTCTTAACGTTCTCTTTCTGGCCTCCAAGAAAATGAAGGAGATTTTTAATTTATTTATTTAAACAATTTTGAGAGGGTCACACCTAGTGGTGCACAGGACTTACTCCTGGCTCTGCACTCAGGAGTCACTCCTAGTGGGTTCAGGGGACCCTGCGGCATGCCGGGAATCAAACCTGGGTCAGCTGCGTGCAAGGCACACTCAAAAGGAGCCTTTTGGACCTTAAAGATTTCCAAATTCAAGTCAGGTATACAGTCCTTTTTGTTTTTTGGGTGGGGGGGAAGGGGATTTTTGGGCCACATCTGGCTGTACTCAGGGCTTAGTCCTGGCTGTGTGCTCCGAGATCACTTTTTTGTTTCTTTTTGGGTCACACCCGGTGATGCTCAGGGGTTGCTTCTGGCTCTGCACTCAAGGAACTACAACTGGCGGTGCTCAGGGGACGATATGGGATGCTGGGAATCGAACCCGGATCGGCCGCATGCAAGGCAAACACCCTACCCGCTGTGCTATCACTGTAGTCCCCCCCACCCCTTTTTTCCCTTTTTGTCTGGGATCATCTTGGCAGTGCTCGGGCATCACAGATGGCGCTGGGGGTCAAACTAGGGACAGTCATGTACAAGGCAAGTGCCTCTGCCCCTGTAATATCTCTTTGGTTGCCAGGAGTCTATTCTTAACATCTTTGTTCTAAGAGTTCAAGTGAAGCAAAGAGTAGATTGAGCAGGTAGTCCTGAAGGTCTTCACTGGTTATTCTAACGCTCTAAGCATCTCACATTGCAGATCACAGAGCTGGGCGCTTGGGAACTCCCCATTTCTGTGGTTCCCAGTCCCAGTGCGGTGCTTCCGTTCCCCAGGCAACGGGAGTAGAATGACCACATGCTCTCCATCTTTCTCTGCACAGATCAGGACGGCTCTGCCACCAGCTTGGTGCAGTTCCATGCATGTTTGAGCAGTTAGTGAGGGTGTGGCTGGGGACAAGGCTGGCGCTGCTCCGTGGTTAATCACAGACACGCATGCAACAATGAGCAGCCAATGGAATGAGACACTACCTTTGATGCATATGATCTCCTGAATGCCAAGGCGTGTGGTACATAAATCGACTTTTAAGGGGATGGCAACGGAAACAAAACAGAATAGCAATAATAGTAATAATTTAAAACATTAAAAAAGAACACAGAAATGGAGCAAAATTGGTTAGAAGTTTAAAACACACACACACAGGACTAAAACACATGATTATTTTTCACAATGTTACACAGGGCTACGTGAGCAGGGAGCCCAGAGGGGCGGCACCTCAGCGAACCCGGTCTCGCTAAGGCCTGGGCTCACTCTCCCGCTGAGGAGACAGCCCTTCCTCTGCTCCCAGTCTCTTTTCTCAATTTGCCTTGTATAAATCAGAACTGTCTGAATGTATGATCGTGGAAGCTATTTTTCCTTCAGTAGCCTATTCACACGTGCAGAAACTTGGACTATTTCTTCTAGCTGAACGCTCTGGGGAAATGGGATGGAGGACAGGAGGTGGGCAAGAGACCATCAGGGACCATTACCAACACCGCACTGAGCAAACTAAGGAAGAAACCGGACTCTGCTCGCAGATGGCACCCCCCTTCTGCCCACTCCTCCCCGGGTCCCTCCTCCAGGCTCCGTGTCCTCTCCTTGTCTCCTCCCTTCCCTCCTCTCCTCTTGCCACCCCCCCATTTCCATTTTTTCTTCCTTTGTCCGGTTTTGGAGTCATACCTATTGGTGCTGAGGGGACCCTGCAGCTCAGGGGATCCAACCTGGGGCCCCACATGCAAAGCAAGTTTTTCTTGCTGGCCAGAGGGCCGTTACTTGACTTAGTGAAAGGGATTAAAAAAAAACATAACTGACATACATCAAAAATATTTAGGCTATCTTAACTGTCCTCTGTGCCGTCCCCCCCCACCCCCTTTGTGGCAAGCTTCCAATCATAAAGCAGATCTCCTGGCCCTGTTTTCCCTGGCCTTAGATATTAGTCTCATACTGGTTTTATTTTTTTGTCTTTTTTTTTTTTAGTATCACACAGATGAGTGCAGTTATTCTACATCTGTTCCTCTCCTTCTGACTTGTTTAACTCAGCATGAATGACAATTATAGTTGGAAATAATCTCTCTGGACAACAACACAAGGGTGTTGAAAACAGGTAAAAGGATATACAAGATATTCACAATCTGTATTGCAAACCATAATGCCCAAAGGACAAAAGGAAAGAGAAAGGGGGAGGGGGGGAAGGGGGAGAGAGAAAGAGAGAGAGAGAGAGAGAGAGAGAGAGAGAGAGAGAGAAGGGGAGGGGGAGGGGGAGAGGGAGAGAGGTGCCTACTATGGAGGTGGGGTAGGGGATGGGAGGGAAACTGGGGACATTGATGGGTACTGGAACATTATATGACAGAAACCCAATCATGAACAACTCTGAAATTGTGTATCTCACTGAAAAATAAATGAAAATTAAAAAAGAATATTCAGGCTGCGAGCCAGAGAGATAGTAAAAAAGTTATCTGCTGAACCTCAGCAAAGCACACAGTTCGTTGAGCACTGTCAAGAGTTAATCCTGAGCAGAGAGGCAGGAATAAACTCCAAGCACTGTGGGGTGTGGCCCCCCCCAAACAAAACCACCAAACAAAAACTTAGGCAAAAAATTTACCCACTTCTCACTACATTAAACCCAAGGAGAACAACTAAGGTAAGTGCAGGAGCTACGTCTGCATTTGTCTGACCAGCCCATTCTGAGACTCAAAGGCACGACTCGAGGCGAGGGCTCTGCCCGGAGGTCTTGGCGGCCTGTGGCTGTGGAGACTGGAGTTCCGGGAGCACCCCGGGGGTCGGGGTGTCAAGCCTGGCTGCCTCACTGCTCCCGGGCATCAGGGAGCAGGCCCGGAACCTATTTCAAGTGCAGACTGGCCCAGAATAGGATTCCTCCTAGTAGCAACAATTAACTGTGAGCTTATAGATCTTGCCTTCGTCTGAGTCATCTCTCCCATGAACAAAGGAGAAAGATCAGAACAAGTCAATGGAAACAGAGGAGACTGGGCACATCTGGCGCAGCACACGTGGGGCCAGAAAGGCAGCGGAACCGCACGGAGGCCAAGGTGTGTTTCCAGGAGGAGCTGCTTTTCAAGTGAGATGGAGGCAAAGAAAAGAGGGAAATCTAATTTATCTCTTATGCCAAGGGCATCGGAAATTAAACAATTTTTTGGGATCTTAGATAAAACGTTTCACAGATGCTTGACTCAGAGATGGGTCCATGGCATTTCTGAGGGGAATCAACTCTCTCCACATGTGCTACCCCAGGTGACTCTGAGAGGCTGGCTGGTTCCCTCGAGTACATTCAAGCCCCACTGTCACTTCAATTGCTCTTGTCCTCTCTCGTCTACTGAAAAAGTCTCCCTCCCGTCCCACCACATCTGGCTGTATTTAGGTCTTATTCCTGGCTCTAATCATGGATCATGCCTGACAAACCTTGGGGGACCATATGTGGTGCTTGGGATTGAACACCACGATCCATCACCCCTAAAAATTTTAGTATGGGGCTGGAGAGATAGTTCAGAGGTGCTGCTTTGCACATGAACCAATTCTGGTTCGATCCCTGGCTTGGCGTGTGCTTTGCTGAGCACTGACAGGACTGGTCTCTGACCACAGAGCCAGAAGAGAGCCCTGAGCACTGCTGAATCCCCCCTTCCCCCAACCTACACAGACACACGCATGCACGCACGCACGCATGTGAGCGTACCTTTCCTATGGAGAGACATTCTTCTGTATGACTACAGAACCTATGTTATTTACAAGGAACTTAGCACTGATACGTCTATACATATTTTACAGTCCATGATCAGATTTCCTTAACTATTCCAAAGAGTCCTTCATGGCTGCTTTCGTTTTAGTTTGTTTTCAGCGTTCATATGGGAGCAGATAAAGAGTTGCAATAACAATAGAAAATGAACAAAGCAGGAACAGGAGGTGATGACTAGTTTCCTGCAGTTTTGTGAAGTGGTTAACAGAGGGATGGACTGGTCAGGCCACGAGGAGGGAACTGGCAACAGGCTGCGGAGGCCTCTTCCAGGAAGGGTTTGGAATGATGACAGCCCTTGTTGGAAGTCAATGGAAATGGCCCGGGAAACCTCACATGGCATGCCAGGGCCACTGCGCTGAGAATGGAGCTAAAGCTGGGTTATCACCTCAGACTTGAGGGTGGGCCCCAGTGAGCTTCACTCCTGCCTGCCTGCTGCAGAGACCCTTCTGGAGACACTGTCAATCTCCCTCGTGGAACAGATGCCCCACCAGCACCTCTAATTCCTCTTCCTTTTCCTACTTATTGTCTCTAGAAAAAGCTTTAAGAACTTTTTTTTTTTCTTTTCCCTTTCTGGGTCACACCCGGCGATGCACAGAAGTTACTCCTGGCTCTGCACTCAGGAGTTACTCCTGGCGGTGCTCAGGGGACCATATGGGATGCTGGGAATCGAATCCGGGTTGGCTGCGTGCAAGGCAAACGCCCTACCCGCTGTGCTATCTCTCCAGCCCCAAAAGCTATAAGAATTCTTGAAAATTCAAATCAAATACCCAAGAGAAGTGCATAAGGAAGGATCCAGCCTCCCCACACAGAAAGAGTGGCTTCTTGGGAGTCGTGTGGGCAGGTGCTCTCCTGTCTGGGGCAGTGGGAGGGGCTGGAATCCAAGTCTCTTGGGCGGGTTCTTCAAAGACAGAAAGATCCTCTCCAACACACAAATGCACAAAGCAACTAGAATAACCAAGCCTATTTCTATGATTCATGACCTACCAGCCTCCACCAACAACAAGGACCCTTCCCTGCAACTCTGGGCACTGACGGCTGCTCCTCCATTCGGGGTTCAAGGACAGAGCAGAGGGGAGCTGCTTCCTCAAGATACAGAAAAACTCTGAGCTCGACTGTTCCTTCATAAAAACTCAACAGGGGACTCATGCCAAGGAAGCAAATAAACCCCAAGTGCCCAGCTTCTCAATGAAAAGTCCCTTCCGTGTGTCCACGGGCTGGGCTGTGACCCTAATGCCTGCAGCTAACTTGTCTGAACAGAGCCCTCGTGCTGTGTACCGCTGGCTGCTCCCCATCTCATCACAGCCCAACACTGAATGGAAGATGAGGGTCCAGGCCTAACTCCTTTCAAAGCCCCACCACTGACTGGGCCCTCATACCTCTCGCTTGGACTTCTGGGAGGACCGCTCAAGGATGTCATCACTGGACAGGTCAGAGTCCTCCGAGAAACTCAACTGGCGCCGGAGCTGCAGCTCTGGGAGGGGAGAAGAGGCAAAGGGAGGACAGTGACCGGCCTGGAAGCCGCCCAGCTGGAATGTCTGGGAAGTGTGTTTGCGGGTGCGTGTGTGGAGGTGATGGTGGCGGCAGCTGATTTCTTTTTCTTTGCTTTTTTTGGGGTCATACCCAGCGATGCTCAGGGGTTATTCCTGGCTCTGCACTCAGGAATTATTCCTGGCGGTGCTTGCGGGACCATATGGGATGCCGGGGATTGAACCCAGGTTGGCCGCGTGCAAGGCAAACACCCTACCCGCTGTGCTATCACTCCAGCCCCGCAGCTGATTTCTTGACAGTCACGGGAATGTCTGTTCATACGGAGAAGCGAGCGGTTTGGATGCTGACAGGGGTCCAGCTGTGCCCTTTAACAGTGGACCTGGTACTGGCCTGCTCAAAGTCAGGCCTTCCTTAGGGGCCAGGGGAACTTAGAAAGCAGACTCGCTCCAGTGCGGGGCTGCGTTTGGGGCTGCCTGGAGTGGGGCATGCTCTGGAAACCCTCTGATCATTCGTTCCCGGGCCCCTGAGCACAGCTTCTGAGAAGCCTCGGGAAGAAGCCTGGGGAAGCCGATGGGTGCAACCCCCTATGGGTGCACCCCCGGCCTGGCCCCTGGGGGGGCCCCTGGGGCTGACGTACCTGCTCTCACGATGGGAGAGAGCCGGTGCGTGCCTGAGCCCACCGTGGCCCCGCTGGAAGGAGTGCTGGAGCAGGACTTGTCGTCTCCCTTCTTCTTCTTGTCCTTCCTGTACCCCGAGAAGACCGACTTCCACAGGGACCTGGGCTTGGCCGCCGCGTCTTCCAGGAGGCCCGGGCTGGGCTTCTCGGGGGCCCGGCCCTCGCCTTTGGGCTTCTTCTCCTTCTTGCTTCTGCGGGGCGAGAAGAGGGACGATCGCTTCTTGCTCTTGCCGCTGGAGCCCTCGGAGGAGGTGATGGAGCCCTCGGGCCCCCCGGAGTCTGAGGGCGGCGACAGGGCCTCCTCGTGCTTCAGGGCGGAGTCCTTGGCGCCCTGGAGCACGGGGCGATTCGGGGGCTCGGGGCCAAGCTCTCTGCCCCGGGGGGAGGCTCTGAGGGCGGCGTCCCCGGGGGGCCGGGGCGGCGCGGGCCCCTCCAGGTCCTTCATCCTGCTCAGCTGCTGGGCCATGGCATCCCTCAGCGCCTGGCTCTTGACCGACTTCTCCCGGGCCCGCATGCGCTCCTCGGCCACCTCCTTGGCTTCCGCGGAGACGGCGGGGAGCCCCCTCCGGGGCGGCGGCGCCCCCCGGGGTTCCAGGGGCGGCACCCTTCCGTTCCCCGCGGCTGGGGGCGCGGGCGGGCGCCTCTCGGGGCGCGGCCAGCAGGAGGGCGGGGTGAAGAACGTCTCCCGCGCGCTCGAGTCCTCCGTCTGCTCGTCGTACGTGTCCTCCACGTCGTCGGCGAACGGGATCTCCTCGACGCTCTCGGCGAACGACTTGCGGGCCTCCTCCCGGGGCGGCGGGGCCGGCTCCCGCGCGGGCCGCAGGAGGGGGGCCGGGGCGGGCGCCGGGGCCGCGGGGGCCGGGGCGGGGGGCGCCGGGGCCGGCTTCCTCCGGAGGGTGGCGGGCTCCTCGTCCCGCGGCGGCGGCGGCGGCGGGCTGGACGGCGGCGTGAGCATCGCCGAGTCGGACGTGTTGAAGCTCTGGCTGCCCGCGAGGCTCTTCATGTTGGACGAGCTGCCCTGCAGGCCCAGCCCCGAGCTGCTGGACAGGTCGCGCCGCTCCTCGGGGGGGCGCCGGGGCTCCCGGTCCGACGGCGACCGGGGCGTCTCGCTGTCCGAGCTGGCGGGGCCCGGCCTCCGCCTCGGCGCGGGCGAGGGCCTCAGCCGGAGGAGCCCCTCGGCCGGCGGCGGGGGCTTCTCGCCGGGGGCGGGCGTCGGGGACGGCGGCTTCAGCGCCGCCGCCGCCGCGGGGACGCCGGGCGCCCGGGTCCGAGCCACGGGCGTGAGGCCCAGGCTGCGGCGGATCTCCGCGCTCTTCAGCCAGAACTCGGCCACCAGGTCGCTCCGCTTCAGGTCCTCGTCCGCGGCGGGGCTCCCGGGCCTGTCCCCGGGGGTCTTGGCGGCGAGCGGGGTGGAGGCCTTGACGGGAGCGGGCTGGAAACAGATGGGGGACGCGGTGGGGGACGCGACGGTGGTCTCGGCGGCGGGCTGCGGCTGGGAGCAGATGGGCCTCTGGGGCGAGGGCGGCGGCCGCGGGGGCGCCGCCAGGGAGGGGGGCGCGCGGGCTTCCGGCAGCGGCACCGGCTGCGATCGGACCGGGGGGCTCCCGGCCGTGGGGGCGGCGGGCGCGCCCAGCTCAGGCTTCTCTCTGGGGAACAAAGGCTGCGGGAAGAGGCGCTTCTCGGGCGACGGCGGCTTGGCCTCGGCGGCAGAGGTGCCCGGGCTCTGGATCGGGCTCTGGATCGCCTGCAGCAAAGGGAGATGGGGCCTCTCAGAGGGGGCAGTGCTGTCTGCCCGGGCGAGTGTCCCCTCTCCATCCCGCCAGCTCCCAAGCCCACGCCGGCAGCCACGGAGGAGCCGCCCCACCTTCTGCTGTGCCCAGCGGCCTCCGAGCCACGCCGGCTAGCTGAACCCAACAGCCGTCAGGGCTGCTCATCTCCAACCTGCTCTCTGAATGAATTCGGCTCACGGCCCCATTCTCCACACCCAGAGCTCCTGACAGACAAGCCCGGAGGACTTGCAGCAGCTGCTCCTCACAGCCGCCCTCCCTGCCCGGTGCACCTGCACAGGGCACACAGTCCTGAGAGGCTACACCCTCAGCCCAGGCAGCTCAGAAAACGCCCATGGTTTCGTCTCAGGATTCTAAAGACCAGATCAAACAGACCCAGCTCTGGCCTTCTGGCCTCCCCCTCAGACAGACTTTTGAGTATTTCCGGAGCATAGCATTCTCCACTATGTGACACACCACTGACAATCTGGACGCGTATTTTCAATTGAAAAATATTTCAATGTAATATTGAAACAAAATTTTCTTTTCTTTTTTTGTTCTTTTTGTGGTGACACCACGTGATACTCAAGGGTTACTCCTGGCTCTGCACTCAGGAATTACTCCTGGTGGTGCTCAGGAGACCATATGGGATGTTGGGAATTGAACCCAGGTTGGCTGCATGGAAGGCAAAACGCCCTACCTGCTATACCATTGCTCTTGCCCCCGAAACAGAATTTTCCTATCAAATTAAGGACTGCACAAATATTAAAGGTTTAAAAACAAGTATTTTTTTTAAAAATATTTTTGGTATCTGGAGCACACTTGGCTGTGCTCAGGGCTTACTCCTGGCTCTATGCTTAGGGATCACTCCTGGCAGGGCTTGGGGGACCATATGGGATATCACGGATCAGCCTGGGCCTCTGCAGCATGGAGTCTGCACCTGGCCTTGAAGAGCGTTTTTTTTTTTTTTGCCACTCAAAGCCTCTTTTGCAGACCACAACACCCAAAAGGAGAGAGAGAACACAAGGGATCTCCCTGCCACAGAGGCAGGGTGAGATGGGAGGGATGGGGGTGGGAGGGATATTATCCATGGTGGTGGAAAATGGGCACTGGTGGAGGGATGGGTATTTGATCATTGTATAATCGAAACCCAAGCACAAAAAATTGTAAGTCTACAACTGTACCTCATGGTGTTTCACTAAAAATAATAATAATAAAAAAAGATAAATTAAAAAAAAAAAAGAGCGTTTTTTTGTATGGCCGCATGGAAGAGCCTTACTCCTGTCCCATCTCTCCAGCCCAAACACAAATGCATTTTTACAGCCATGACAATGACTCAGGTGTGGGAGCAGCTGCCAGGCAACTGATTCCTGAGCTAAGCCTGAACCCCAAGGCTCCTGTTCTCAGCAGATCCCCACTTCATCCTAGAATGTAGAGGCTAGTTGATGACTTTACCTCCAATATTTCTCAGTTCACACTATGAACCCTAAGATAAAATGCGATGGCTCTGTCTCCCTGGGGCAAGGCAGCACTGTGCCTCTGCCTCGCAGACCCTTACCTCTGCCTCCAGGCGGGAAGCTGGGGACAGATCAGCTTTCTCGGGCTCCGGGGAGTGGAAGGGGCTGGAGACTCGGGAGGGACCTACAGAGAAGAGAACAGGATTCACCAGGGGCCCCGCGCCCACTCCCAACGAGGGGGCCTCTATCTGCCAGACTGAGGGTATGGGGACTCCCAGAGAGGCTTCCACTGCTTCCCAGACAACCACGGGCGGGAGAGCAAAGCCCTTGCGTGGCTGAGGCCGGGCCAGGGGGGGCACCAACAGTGGCTGAGTCAACACCCAGGCTCTTATCTGATGGCCCCCCCCACCCCAGCGTATCCCGGTCTTCTGTGGCCCTCAGCAGGAATTATCACTTGTTTTTGGGCCACACCCAGCAGTGCATACTCCTGGCTCTGTGCTCAGGGATCACTCTGTGTGGGCCTCCAGGGGACCATATGGGGTGCCAGGACGGAACCCAGGTCTGCTGCGTGCTCGCCTACTGCCCGAGCGCCCACAGCCAGCTCCCCCTCCAGCAGAACATCACCTTTCTCTTGGCACTTCGGGGCAGGGAGTGGCTGCTCCTCCTCATTCTCTGACACTCGAAGTTCCAGCTCCAGCTGGGCCTCTGTCTGGCGCCACGGGCCAAGTTCTGCTTCTGCCTCTGACGGAATGTCATCGGACCAGTGCTGATCTGGCAGGAGGAAGGGAGGTCAGAGGATGGGGTGTCCTCATCCCCAGGGTGACCATGCTCCGTCCCCGGACGCCACCTTTCTCAAGCAACAGTCCAGTCAGTCCGTCAACTGCAGCACTCTTGGCTGCGGTCTGGCCAGCTGGCACTACAAAACCCCTGACAGACTGGCCAGCAGCACCCTGGCCTCTGCAGCATGGAGTCTGCACCTGGCCTTGAAGAGCGCTTTTTTTGTATCATACCCGGTGAAGCTCAGGGATCACACCTGGTGATGTGTGTGATCGGGAGAACATATGGGATGACGGGGATCGAACCTGGTCAGCTGCACTGCCCATTGCCCCTGGAAGGTTTTAATTTTATAAATGGCGGCACTCCTGGCATGGGACTGGGAAGTCCCCTGTCCCGCTCCTAAGCGCTCCCACAGCCAAGTTCTGTGCTCGATTGCATCCTCATCCAGACTGTCTTCCCTACTTTGGGGAAGTGGGGACATCTCGCACCCAGACTGTCTTCTTCTTTGGGGGGACGTGAGGGGCACTCTCGGCAGTGACTGGGGGACCATGTGGCAGAGAGCACATTCAGGGCTCCAACATGCAAAGCAGGTGGGTCTTACAGTCTCTCCCCGACTCCCGAGCTCCTGTCCCCAATCCACCAACCAGAAAACGACTCTTCGAACGCCATCCTCTTGTATCTGCGTTCTGAGGGCATCTACTGGATTAAAGGACCCATATAAAGCCCAAATCGGAGCCGTTTCTCAGCCCCGTTGTTATGAATGAAGGTGGTGTGGGAAGGTGCTCAGAGGTGGGTAAAATGACACACATTCCATTCAGTGGTAAAACTAGAAACGAACCAGAGACCCAACTGTGAGGGTCTTTTTAAAAAAAAATTTTTTTTGGGGGTCATACCCAGAGATGCTCAGGAGTTCCTCCTGGCTCTGCATTCAGGAATTCCTCCTGGCAGTGCTTGGGGGACCGTATGGGATGCTGGGGATCAAACTCGGGTTGGCTGCATGCAAGGCAAATGCCCTCCCCGCTGTGCTATCCTCCGGCCCCATGGGGGGGGGGGGGTGTCTTGTTTTGTGCTCAGGGTACTCTCTATTCCCTCCAGGATCGCTGCATTCATGGGCAACAGATGGCCACCCCGGTGGAGGGGAGGCCCTGGGGTTCTCCCATACCATCATCCAGCTCAGCACCAGTGTCCCCCGTGTCCCCATTCTCTGCTGCCTCCCCTTCTATCTCTGCCGGCTCTGAGTCCACATCTTCCTCCAGGTCATCCTCATCAAACGGGACTGGAAAGTAGAAATGTTCAAGGAAAGAAAGAAAAGACACAGAGATATTGCTTTTGGGGCAGGAAAGTGGCGGTGGTTTCTCAGGCCTGGAACAGGATGGCCCGGAGGAGAATGGAGAAGGCAGAAGTCTGGGCAGGAGTGTGGGTGGGTCCGGGGAGGCTTGGAACCCCTCAACACAGAAGGTCGCTTCCCCGCGCTGGCAAGAACAGCTGTGAGAACAACCGCTCGGGGCCTGGTCCTCTGTCCCCTTCCTCGGGGATCTCAGGCTACCTCCCGGCCTGGGCCTGGCTCCCAGCTGCAGAACAGGGTGACTGTGAGGTGCACAGCCACTGCCCACATTAGCAGCTGCTCTGTCGCCATCAAGGTCTGCTTTAAGGGACCTTGTCCTGCAGGTGAAGACTGACCTGGACAGTCATGGCCACACTGCTCACTCCTGCAGCCAGAATGTGATCCACGGGACCCCGAGGGGACCTCCCAAGACAACTTCCCTTCCCCGCTGCAGCTCCACTGGGGATGACTTAGAGCAGTTGTTTCTCAACCGGAGCTCTATGGCCCCCGAGAATATTCAAAGGGGGCCACACACGAAAATTACATAGAATGGGAGCCACAAGTCTGGGGAGCGGGGGATCAACTGACAGAACCGGGGTGGGGCACAGGAAGGGAACAAGGTTAAACAGGCCATGGTCAGAAAGAGGATGTGAAACACTGATTTAGACAAAGACTCTTTAAAACATAAGGACAGGGATGAAGGGATATGTAAAGTTCACTGTCTTAATTCAAAACAGGCCCTTAGGGCTACAATTTAGAGCAAAGTAATCATCACATGCATCTCCCTAAACACACACACACTCTCTCTCTCTGCCTCCCTCCGTCCCTCCCTCCATCTCTCTCCTGCTTCTCCCAACCTCTACACCCAGAACTTTACTACCGTTCAGAGAGGAAGCAGCAAAGGAAGCAGAGGACTGTGTGAAGGGACTGTGTCACCGAGACTTACAGCACAGCTCTCAGGGAGCCCCGGGGTCTGTTCTACGGCTGAAGCACTGCCACCCTCTAACTCCTTCCTAAAGGGTTTCCTTTCAGGAAAAGGAGCCAAACTCTTCCCTGCAGATACTAGAGCCGGAGTTCAGGTGGGTGACGGAGGAAGCAGCTGCAGCACAGCTGTGCTGGATGAAAGAGGGAGAGTGAGGCTCCCTGGAAGCCTGGAGGGAAGTTCGAGGCCGGCAAACGGCTTTCCTTGTTCTAGAGCAATACATGGGCTGGCAACGCTAAGACTTTCTTATGGTTCCAACTGCTAGGGAAGAAACGACGTAGTTATTCCCACAGGCTGAAATCTGTGTGCTCACGTTGCTTTTGGTCACTCAAGGAACAGGAGTGGGCTTCTAAGAGCCAAGTGCAGGGTCTGGGTCTCCTCAGCCCCAGCTCTACGCTCGGGCAGCACTATCACTGTTGGCAAAGATGAGTCCTCTCTGGGACCTTCGTCCCTCGGCAACCACCCAGCCCTGGGGGCGATGCTGGCCTGCCTTAGAGGGGCCTGGCTCTGAGCAGGTGATATGCCGATAAGGACGAAGGCCCCCCCCCCCCCCGCCCCACGACACTTGCTGGTCAGACACTGTCTGAGGCACGCACCCCTCCACCCTCATGAGTCTCCTTAAGAAATGTCTGCTGTCGTGTCAGAAAAGTACCAGGTCTGCAGCCCGTGGGCACACCTTAAAAGGAAAAACGATCACATGTATCAAAAATAAAACAACGACAAGTACCAATGCAGCGGCAGCAACAGCTAAAAGCGACACAGCATAAGGGTGATGATGGGGGATTAAATCGAGGTTAAGATGGGTGCGGGGTGCCAGAGCAGCCACGTACTGTGGAAGCCAGGGTGACTGACGTCCTAGCGGTCAGCCAGGAAGTCCTGCCACCTAGCCTTGTCCATCCAGCCTGGGGGCAATCCACAGGAAGCAATGTCCAGGGCTTCTCTTCGGGAGGCACCTCCTCATCTGTGAGCTTGACCAGGGGGCCGGACTTGTGGGCTTGGCGGGTAAGACTCTGGGGACCAGGGAGTGACTTTCGGCTCTGCCCAGCCCAGAAGTAACAGGTGGGACAGTGGTTCTCAGCCAGGTGGCGATACCACTCTCCGTTGGTGATACAGGACACTGTGTGGAAGGGTTCCTGTTCTGGCCGGGGACAATGAATGGCTCCATGGGAAGGGCAGATCTGCCTGCCGTGGCAGCCCCTGGTGGGAAACGCCTCTCTGGAGGACCTTAAGAAGGCGGCTGTGGTCGCACACTCTAGGGGTAAAGGCAGCTCAGAGAGAGAAGGGAGCACTAAATAAAGGGTGTTGGGAAGAACTGCCCAGGATGGGAGTTGCATGCTGAAAGTAGACTCTAGACCGAACATGATTGCCACTTGGTGCCTCTTTTGCAAACCACAGCACCACAAAGGAGAGAGAGAACAAAAGGGAATGCCCTGCTAGAGAGGCAGGGTGGGATGAGGGGGATGGAGGGTGGGAGGGATACTAGGATCCGTGGTGGTGGAGAATGGGCACTGGTGGAGGGATGGGTACTCAATCATTGTATAATTGAAATCCAAGCACAAAAATGTGTAAGTCTACAACTGCACCTCATGGTATTTCACTAATAAAAATTAAAAAAGAAAAAGGCGGCTGTGGTTCTGCACCTTTCTCTTGGTCTAAGAGCCTCAGCCTGGAGCTGACGCTGGCATGGTCATAGCCAGCCTACCTGGGACAGTGTGGAGGGGCCTGCCTGGCCCCCATCTTCACCGGACGTCTTCCACCCGCCCTCCTGGGGACTGGAGTCTCCTCTGGAATTTTGGTAGAAGTAGGTACTTTTGTGAAAGGAGCTACTTCTCTCACTTTCACGCCGCTGCCGCCCAACTTCGGTCCCTGGCTCCCCGTTTCTCCAGCCTCTCCTAGTGAAAGCGCCCGGGGCCTCTGCCGCGCCTGGGAGAGGCGTGTCTGGTCCATGCAGGGGCGTCTGCCTGGGTGAGCATGCACGTGGCCCCTCCCCCCGCCCTCAGCATGCACCAGCGGCCCCCGAGTCTTGTGTTAGGGTCCCAGCCGAGCTGCAGAGAGAGGGGGTTATGGTGAATGGAGAAGAACAAACGTCACCAGACTACCTCCGGACACCGTCTCCAGCCAGGCCTGCACTGCCGCGCGGCGCATGGAAGGAAGGTCAGGCGCTGGATTCGAAAACAGACGACAAACACACGGTTACGGAGGAACGAGCATTGCCAGGGGGAGGGGCTGAGGTCGTCCCTGGAATCCCAAATAGAAGAGAAGCGGAGGTAACGCTGTGAGACAGGCCTGCCCAGCACTGCCGAGCTCCACCGGGAGGCTCTGTGAGGGGGACCCTCACGGAGGGAGAGCAGGAGAAACTGCAGGGCGAGGTCGAGACGCTGGTAGGGGACGGAGGCTGGGCTTGCCTGAAGGGATGGCGTTAGCTGGGGAGAACCAAAGGTCCAGCTCAACACCGAGTTTCTGAGCCTTGCGGGTGTGTGGTGCCAAAAGACACAGAATGGAATAGGAAGAGAAGTGAGCAAGAGACAGTCTGATGACATGAAGACAGGGTCACCAAGGACAAGGGGCCTGTGGCAGCTGTCAGCACTCTCTGATTAGCCAGAATAGGGCTCATGGTGAATTGAAGACTGACTGAAGATCTGCACTGTAGCACCGTCCTCCCGTTGTCCATCGATCTGCTCGAGCGGGCACCAGTAATATCTCCACTGTGAGACTTGCTACTGTTTTTGGCATATCGAATATGTCACGGGTAGCTTGCCAAGCTCTGCCGTGCGGGCGGGAAACTCTTAGTAGCTTGCCGGGCTCTCTGAGAAGGACGAAGGAACTGAACCCAGGTCGGTCGCGTGCAAGGCAAACGCCCTACCCGCTATGCTATTGCTGCTCCAGCCCATGGAAATTGTTTTGGATGTTTCCTTGGTACAAATCTCAACCCACAGTGCCAGGAACGAAGCCCACGGCTCCACTCGTGCAAAGCATGTGCTCCACCACTGAGCTGCACCTTTCTACAAACTTACAGTGCTTAAATAAAAGAGTTAAATTAAAAAAAAGTTCTCCCTACCCCCAAACTGACAAGGCACACTCATAACCAGATACACTCCGTGAGGAAAGGACCACACACGCTACTAAGAGGAGAAAACAGAGACGGGAGAGAAGGCACAGTTTTGGTTTTCCCCAGGTGAAGTTCATTTTGCTATTTGGTTCTTGGCTCTCAATGGAGAGAGAACCTGTAGCTGATTTTAATTTTCTCTGCAGAACTGGGGATGGAGCCCACGTGGAGCCAATGACCTCTCAACCCACAGAGAACTTTACACATCCTTGGATAACAGACAAAAGGCAGTGGTTACAATTAATGTTTGAAGAAACAAAATGTCCTATGTATGTTACTTTTATTAAACCAAAGGCTGGACCCCAGCAGGAAATATCTCTGCAGCAACAGGGGAAGAGAGGGGTCCCAGGCGTGCAGAGAGGCAGGGGACCCTGGGCCTTGAAACAATTACCTCTAGAAGTAGAGGACTCGGAGGTGGGTCCCATTCTCTCCTCCTCTTTCTCACGGATATGCGTCCAGTGCACGTCAGCCTGAATCTCCAGCGGATCAGATGCATTAATGATCTGCTGTAGCCTCCGACTCCCAGCTAATGTCCAGGGCCAAGGGGTGGAGGAGATGAGGGAGGAAAACAGGAGAGAAAGCAGCCAGGGAAGGAAGGAACAAAACACCACACAGAGGAGACAGAGAGAAAAGTTACAGGATTGGCCAGAAACAGTTGAAATAAAAAAGAGGAGGCAGCAGTGCACACACACACACTCCCAGCTTCTACTGATGCTTCCTTTCAGCTTCACACAGGGTTAGCTTCCGTGAGGAGAATACACATTTTCGCTCCCGTGCAGGAAGAACATTCCTTTCGGAGGTGCTTTGCACCCTAAACTGTATTTGAGGGACCCAAGCGCCAAGTTAGAAAAGAGAGGCCACGCTGGGCCACGGGAAGGGCCATGCCTGCAGCCACGAGCTGTTGCCAGGATGTGACATTCCCTGAGGACACCACACCGCCAGTCTTCTGTTAGTCACAGTAAGCTCCTCCCTTATTGCCACCTGCCACAGTGACAACTTCCTCGGAATTTAAGTCAAGTGATAAGAGAGATAAGATCAGAGTGTCTTTCTGCCAGGAGCTGGCCAGCTCACACCTGATGGGTATCTACTTTGTTGGCACATTAGATCTTGTCTTTCGCAGCTAAAATGCTCTTTCCACCCCAGTTCTCATGCTGCATGCTGGTTGAAGGCAGGGGGCCAGCTGTGGAGGGAGGGGGGCACTGGCTGGGGAGGAAGCGCCCTTCTAGGCTGCAAGCCCGAGGTTCCGGCAGTTCCTGGGAAGGGCTGCCGGAGTACCTGTCTGCTTTCTCTGAGGCCAAAGTCTGTTTCCTCCCTGTGAGTGCCTTGCAGACACGAAGCCTGACTGCCCAGCTAAAGGAGAGGCTACCAGTGGCTCCTTCACAGTCTTTTATTTTATCTATTTATTTTTTATTATTATTTTGCTTTTTGGGTCTCACCCAGTGATGCACAGAGGTTACTCCTGGCTCTGCACGCAGGAATCACCCCTGGCAGTGCTCAGGGGACCATATGGGATGCTGGGAATCGAGCCCGGGTTGGCTGCGTGTAAGGCAAATGCCCTACCCGCTGTGCTATCTCTCCAGCCCCTCTTTTTTTTTTCCTCCCAGCTGAGCCACTTCCAGAATTGCAGCCGGCAGTGCTGGGGGCCAGCTGGTGCTGAGGACCAAGCCTGTGGCGTTGTACCTGCTAAGTGCGTATTCTCACTCAAGCCATCTCCCTGGTTCCCCCTCAGATGGGGGGGGGGGGGCGGGGGAGTCAACATGCAGCCCTTGCCCTGAGGCTTCCTGTCATTAGTGCTTCGACCATGCTAGAGAGATGCCAGAGAGTTGGGCTGAATCAAGGGATAGACAGCGACCAGGGGAGGGGGGGCACTACTGGAGAGGGGATGGCTTTTCAGGAAGCAAGAGCAGGTGCCACCCGACGTGAAGGACCCTGGGCTTACGGACAGGGGCGGGGCTCAACAATCTGGTTTTGGCTTCATCACTAGAATAACAACTTCAAAACTTTGGTGTAATAGGGAACCCGAGATGGGCAGACCCGATGCTCTGTACCATGGGAGCGGGGGGTCTCCAGTGCACCCCTTATTGGAGCTGCCAGCTGCTCTCGGCTCAGGCTTTTTCTAATATCAGCTGATCTTTGTGGTGCTAGATGGGGCTGAGCCGAAGCGAAGCGACCAAACAGCCTGAACGGCTGAAGCCCGAAGCAGGGAAGTTAAAGAGGAAAACAGCAGACCCTCCCTCCCACAGGAAGAGGATGCCTTGCTCTGGGCCACTGGCTTCTTCCCTAGAGAAATGCTGAAAGGCCGAGAGGAGCGCCCGGGCCTCTGTGTTGACGCCGGATTGGACGCACTGGCAGAGTGCAGCCGCGCGAGGGTTTTTGCATTAGAGAGAACCAAGGCTTCCCTGGTGATGGGAACTTGCAGCTAAACATGGAAGGGGCACAGGTGGGGCCTCATTCAACAACACTATTTCAGGAGACTCCCCTGACAGCCTCCTGTCGCTCTGTCTAACTGTCTATTTTGTACATGCAGTCTGGGCCCAGGGTGGCTATATGCCAAAGCCTGTCAGGGGGGCTCTTAAAACCAGATCTTCCCAAGTGGGACCTGCTCTTGGGGAAAGTTTCAGGTGGTTGCCAAGGAGCCAGGGGAGAAGGTGGGCAAGAGGCAGTGCGGGTACCTTTACATGTACCCGGGTCTTCTTCCTTGGTGGGGAGCTGGAGCCACTGGCCTTGCAGGAGTTCTCGGTCCCAGGGGCAATACTCCCCCTCTGCAGCAGGGGGAGCCAGACACCCACAAACAGCATCAAGAATCCCATGTGGTAGGTTAAAGGGAGAAAGAATGGAGGGGAGGGAAGAGAATAGGCAGGCGTTATCTTCAGCTGCAAGGCAACGGCACCCTGTCGCCGTGGACGCAGGCAGTGAAGTTCCTGACTCAGCCCACGGGGCAGGAACCAAGGCCCAAAGCGTGGCTGAATTTACTAATGCATTCCTCTCCTTAAGCTCTCCCCCCTGGGTTTGGTGTTGGGACTGTTTCTAGGTGCAGATAAAGACGGAGGGAAGGCTCTGATGTTTGGAGAAACTCGACGAAAAAGGGAACAGGCTGCGATGCTCAGCTGTGCCTAGATCATCCCTGGAGAGAACGGAAGTTTGGAATGACGCAAGCAAAACACCCTGCTGCCGATGCGTTTTGAACACGATCACCACCCTGCTGGCTGGCAGGGACGTGGAGGGAGCCCAGGCCAGCTGTGCCTCCGGATCCAGCAGCCCCGTGCCTTCCCGGCACAGGGAAGTGAGCGCTGCCTCACCTTCCGAGGAGCCCGGACTCAAGCTATCAGGGGCCCAGGAGGTGCTGCCTGAGGGCTGTTCCCCAGCACCCGGCTCCCGGGTGAAGAGAGGCGGGGCTTTCCCCCTGTATGTTCTGTCTCCCCCGTGCCTGTCTTCGGGGGCACCGGAGGCCTCTGAGGATCCTTCAGTCCCAAGCCGCCTGGCTGGGAAAAGCTCCTCACGGGGCCAGAGCAAACAGGCCCAGGAATGGGTTTGGGCAACTGGACAAGTCCAACTCCAGAAACAGCGGAGCGAAGTAGGAGTAGCTGCTAAGTCATGTCTGTGAGGTCTGAGGCTGTTCACAACTTCACCAGTTCCTCTGACCCGTACCCTTAAGGCTGCCCCGTCCCTGCTCTGGGGCCAGCCCATGCTCTCGGCCACGGCAGCCCGTAAGGAATCTAGGCGCTTCCTGCCCTGGTGCATGTTTCCTTACCCCCTAAGCTGCTCTGGGTGCAGGGAGAAAGCAGAGGCAGGAAAGGAGGCAGACACGCCTCCTCCCAACCTGACACAGAGCCCCTGGGCAGAACCAAAGCAGCCGAACCCAAGGCTGCAGAGCCACAGGCCCGCCAGGCCTCAGTGCAGGGACCTCCCTCAGCATCTGCCCGGGCCGCCTTGCCCAGGCCCCGCTCAGGGAGAGGCTCGATGCGAGGCAGATGTGCTGCTCTGCAGCCTCCAGAAACCTAAGTCCCGCTCACTGATGAAATTAACTGAGCTGAAACCGAAGGGGGAAAAAGAGAAAATGAGGGGCGCGAGGAACCCAGCGCTAGGAGAGATGTTTTCTGACCTTCACTAGACTCCTCCTCCTCCTCTTCATATTCCTCCTCTTCATACTCGTCGTCCTCTTCATTCCCCGGCGCAAAGCTCTTCGGGGCCTCGAGCTCCTCTTCGCTCTTTCCCCGCAGGAGAGCGTGGATTCGCACGGCCTCCTTCCAAGGAACACCGCCCAGGTCCGAGGTGGGCAGGCGTGGCTGCAGCTCTTCCTCCTCCTCTTGTTCTTCCTCCTGCTCTTCCTCTTGCTCCTCCTCCTCCTCCTCCTCCTCCTCTTCCTCTTCCTCCTCCATCTCTGACTCAGAGCTGCTGAAGGTAAACCACCACAAACTAAAGTGAGGACATTACTAACACTGAGCTGGGATGGTGCGAACCCACAGCCAGAGGCACCACGTGCCAGGAAGTCCAGGATTCCTGGCAAGGGGTTAGCGTGAATCCTTGTCCAGCTCATATACTCAAGGGGATAGAAAGAAAGCGTGCATGAGCACGCACACATGAGCACGGCCCTGGCGGGAGGGACAATTTCAACCAGGTCAGTCCTACAGAGGTCTCAGAGCAACCCGAGGAGACAGTGGACTCAGTTTTGAAAAAACCCAGGCCCTGGGAATTGAGAATGCAGAGTTCACTGCCTTACATCCAGGACTCTTTGGTTGGGGATCTGAACTCGTCTCCACCACAGAAGGGCCGGCGTGGGCCCGAGTGGAAGCAGCATTTTCTAACTCTCGTGCTCACCGAACCCCAAGCAGGTCCCGTAGTAGCAGAGGCACAGTTGACTCAAAGTTATAGTCTTGTGACTAACAGGAAGGTGGAAACCAACACCCCCTCACGTCGTTCTTGACAACGGCAACTCTCCCACCTCCCCGACCTCCTCAGCATAGGGTCTAACTCAGTTTGAAACGAGAGGCAGCCACTGGTGCGGGAAAACGCCCAATTTATGCAAACCCCACTTGGCACTTGGAAATACGGGCTGCACACGAATGTGATAACTGAGCTAACTGGAAGGGGGCAAGGGGGGGCCACAACAATTTCGTTTTAATATAAATTTAGGATTATCAACTGGTGGATGTTTGATTTGTATACCTTTATATATGCCTGGGGTCAGGTAAACCTTCCTCTGCTTAGGGGGTTGAGTGGAAAATTTTAGGAAGCCCCAGCCTAGGGCATCTTAGGCCTCTCCCGTGGCCGCACAGCAGACACGGATGAAACATGGCCTGCTCCGGGAGAACAAGGTCCTGACTTCCTGTGGGGTGGGCGCACTCCCCCCCTGCAACAGAACTTTCCCTGTGGGTGAGCTGGACAGTGTCAAGCTCACTGACTGTGAGGAAGATGAGACAAGGCCCCTGCCATGAGTGCTGTCAGCTCCGCGAAGAACCTAACCTCAGTCTTCCCCTTCTGCAAGGAGAGCTCAGGGATGTTGTGTCTCAGGACCTCGGCTCAAGGTGGAGAGTCTAAGAGTGCGATTCAGGATGAGGGCTGGCCACGACAGTAAGACCGAGAATTCAGGGTGGGTAGGAGCTTTGAGTAATTGAGCTGGAAGTTGACTTGGAGACGAAACAACCATAAATAGGTGTTTGATCAATCAATCAACTGTTGCCTGGGTAATTAAGCCCTAATGAAAACTGGCACCTAGGGTTGTGTAACACCTATTGGTGTCATCACAACCACACCGAATAAGCAGTGCTGTCCAGCTCACAAGCTCCGTGTCTGCATTCTCTTGGCGTCTATCTTACACGCTTCTTCACTTGACTGAGTTCAATCTACAGGCTGCCCTGTCTTTAGAGCAAAGCACAGAAGGGGACGATAGTTTTGGCAACTCCCAAAACTCCACGTCGGCTGAGAGCCAGAGCTGCCTCGTGGTGGCGGCCACCACACTGCCCCTGACCTGTGTTCCTCATTGGCCTAAAGCTGGTTAACGAAACTCAAGAGTTCATGCTCTCATTGGTAAGAAAGCAATAGAGATAATTTGTGAAAATCAGGGATTTTGTTTCTTTACTTTTGGGGAAACAAAAGGAAAAGGGAAAGAAACACCCCCACTGCAGAGGAACTCAGAGTGGGACTAAGTTGATTTTGTTCATTTTTCTAGTGTTTGCATTGTACTCTGGGATTCTAGTACTTCATTTAAGGCTTACTCATTTACATGTTCAGCCTTCATTCAACATTTTCAGTATGATCTAAAGCTCAGCTGGTGAATTAGAGAGCAAACAAGGAACTAGCTTTTTAGTGCAGGCATCTTCGTTTAGTGAATCCTACTTCATTTATTTACTCACTTAAAATTTACTGAGTATTTTCTACTTAGAACAAACTTCCTAGACACCATGGAGAAATACAAAAGTGACACAGAAGAGATCTTTATTTTCAAGGGGAGATAAGATGCAAACACTTTCTGATAAAACATGGTGGATTGGGACCGGAGCGATAGCACAGCGGGTAGGGCATTTGCCTAGCATGCGGCCGACCTAGGTTCGATCCCCGGCATCCCATATGGTCCCCCAAGCACCGCCAGGAGTAACTCCTGAGTGCAGAGCCAGGAGTGACCCCTGAGCATCGCTGGGTGTGACCCAAAAAGGCAAAACAAACAAACAAACAAACAAACCCACAAAACCCAAACATGGTGGATTATAACTGCAGAGGCATGGAGGGCTGAAGGAGGTAGTTTCAAGTGGGCAGACATAACAATTTGGACAATGGAAAGCTTGGGTCTGATGGTGGAAAGAAGAGACTGGGAATGCAGAAGGGCCTGCGGGGAGTGTGACCGGTAGTGAACGCCTGGGCTGGACATTCCTAGTTGGCTTCCCAAAGTAAACCGGAAATCATAGCTCTCACATTAAAGTCACTCAGATCGAACAGACTGAGTGCTTACCTACACAGAGATTCAGGATGGCTTCAGACAGCAAGTGCCAAGTGTGTGTGTGTGTGTGTGTGTGTGTGTCTGTGTGGGGTGCTCCCAAGTGCACAGGAGACGGCTGAGTGACAGCACAGTGGGGAGGGTCCTGCCTGCCTGCACCTGTCCTAGGTTTGATCCCCAGCAACCCCCAAGGGTCCCCAGGAGTAATCCCTGAGCACTGTCTAATGTGCCTCTCCCCCACAATAACAGCAACAAACCCCCAAATGTACAGAAGAGCTGTCTGGGAGGCCTGCCGGAAGTGCCTCACCCAGAGGGTGTCTGACGCTGGGGCTGGGCTGAGAGTCACTGTCCTGTGGGAGAGTTGTGGCATTTCAAGAACAGAGCTCTGCATTATCTGCACACATTCCTTTCTTCATGCCTACAAAGAACTGTCCTGTGTGACACAAGCCACTCTTGAGGTCAAACTCTGCAAGTCTTCCCCAGGCAGGATGCAGCAAGGTGCCAGGGCAGATGGCATGGATGGCAGCTCTGCCAGTCAGTGCCGACCTCCTCAGCCCAGCTGCTGGCCCACAACAGTGCTCCACTGAGCACTCTGAATCCTTTTGGTTGATCCTGGCAGGCCTGGTGAGGTGAGGAAACTGAACCAGAGCCGACATGTACCCCAAAGGCACTGCTGTGGACATAGTTAAGAGCTGGGACGGACCAAGAAGGAAACCACTTGCTTCTGTGTGTGGCCTCTGTAACACACATATTCAGAGCTTTTTTTTTTGGGGGGGGGAGAGGGCGCAGGCCACACCCAGCTGTGCTCAGGAACCTCATGGGACGTGGGGGATCGAACCCAGTTTGGTAGCGTGCAAGGCAAGTGCCCCAGGCATTCCACTATCCATTCAGCCCTGCACTTTCATTTTTTTTTTTTAGCTCACAGGGGATAACGTAAGCTGAGAGGTGAGGTGGATTCCCCAAGACTGCATGGCGATGGGAGTTGCCAGAAGCATCAAACTCTAACCTGGGACTTGTTCCACTGAACTGAGGCCCCTCATGAGTGCACCATTCAAGGCTCCTGTGGGGTCCCCACCCCCCAGCACTGCCTGAAGGCAGGAAACCTGTGACTGAGCTTTCTATTACCTTCCCAAGGAGGAGCAAAGTGTTAAAGATGACTGATGAAGTAGGTCACATGGACACTGAAGCTTCCTGGCCAACAAACAAGATGAAAGAGGAACCAGAATGGAATCGGGGAGGCTCCCTGGGCAGCCGGGATAAAGGAAGAATCCTGAACAGGGGCCAGTGAGAATCTGAATCAATTCTTTTTTTTTTTTTTTTCACTTTTTGGGTCACACCCGGCAATGCTCAGGGGTTCCTCCTGGCTCTGCACTCAGGAGTTACTCGTGGCGGTGCTCAGGGGACCATATGGGATGCTGGGAATCGAACTTGGGTCGGCCGCGTGCAAGGCAAACGCCCTACTCGCTGTGCTATCTCTCCAGCCCCAGAGAATCTGAATCAATTCTTAATCTATGGCTTGGTCACTACTTCACCTATAAGGTGTGTGCTATTTTTTCAGTTTATTTTTTGGGTTTTGAGCACATCTGGCAGTGCTCAGGGCTGACTCCTGACTATCGAACATGAGGTGCATATTTTGTCTAGACTACAGAATTCCTGTGGGGATGACCAGAGGTAAAGGTTCTAGGAGGCCCCTGTGAAGGTCCCTCACCAGCAAAGCAGAACCACAGACAGCCACCCACCTACTATGTGCATATAATAACCTACTAAGTGCACGTGTGCTTATATGCAGTTGACCTTTATCCACATCTAACCCCCACACCACCTTGTGGGGAAGATATACGGGGCACCTTCACCTGCCTGATGAAGAGCCGGAGGTAAAGACAGTGGGTCATGGACCTTGTCTAAGGACACACAGTTGGAAGGTGGCACAGCCACGATGAAAACTCAGCTCTGGGGGCAAAGAAAATACAGCAGGTAGGGCGCTTGCCTTGCATACAGCTGACCTGGGTTCAAACCCCAGCATATCACATGGCCTCCTGAGCACTGCCAGGAGTAAGCCCTGAGCATTACTAGGTGTGACCCAAAAGCCCAACCCCTCACTCCACACAAAAAAAGGAATTTAAAAGGAAAAGAAGAAGAAAAGTTAGCGGCTAGCTGGGTATACGCTGCCCTCCTCTAGCTAGGAAAATCAAGGGAGGTGGGGCAGGGTAGGCTTGCACAGCCCCAGGGCCCTGGCTGACCTGCTGCCAACGTCCTCCTCTGTGCCCTTGTCCAGCACGCTGCTCAGGTTGTGCTCGGCCAGGGTCTCCTCAGGCACCTCCTCCAGCTCCTCTGCCTGCTTCATGGAGAGGCGGTAGTTCTCCAGCTCGATCCTCTCGGGGGTGCCCCGCAGCCTCTTGGCAATGCTGGGTTCTTCCACACCATTCACGCTGGAACCTACAGGAAAGTAAAGTCACATTCTGATGGCGGGAATGGAACAGGCTGGGGCAGGCACAGCACACTGGGGCATTCCAGGTCACCCGCCTCCATCCAGGGGAGGGCTGAAAGTCCAGTGGTTCCAACATTTTTCTTTTCTTTTTGGGTCACACCTCAGGAGTCACTCCTGGCTCTGCACTGAGGAATCACTCCTGCCGGTGCTCAGGGGACCAGATGGGATGCTGCATGCCAGGCAAACACCCTACCCACTGTGCTATCGCTCCGGCCCACCAATGGTCACCACTTAAGTAGAGGCCAGGCCCAGTGGGAGAGTGACAGAACTTGGTCAAACCAAGACTGTCCATGCACCCTTGCTGGAGACGTGCCCTCATCCTTTGTCGCCCCGATCTCCTACCGAGCCAAGTGCATTAGGGGTGCGGGAGTGAAGGGGATTTGGCCTAGATTGGAGGAAGAGGAAGCTCTTCTCATGATCAAGGAACAGCTGCCCATGCCCCTTCCCAGTCCTCGCACTTTCCCGAGAAGGCTCATCCTTCCGCTGCATCAAGCCCTGAAGATCCAGGATGAGTTGAGTGTGTGTGCACAAGGGGTGGCTGATCCAGAGAGCTCAGGGAGCTCAGTCTGCCTGTCCCTGTCCCTTCACGACTGGACTGGGGTGCACCCTGAAAGCGACACTGTCACCCCTACCTGCACTGGGTCAGGAAGCATCTAAGAACCTGAGGCCAGGTGGCCCTGGGGACATGCCTTGGTGGCATGAGTAAGGAGCCCACCTGCCCACCTCTACTATAAAGTGACACCCTCCCCCTTGGAATAATCTGTGGGGTGACATGTAGAATGCATGAGACACCTGGCCTGCTTCTTTGTGACTTTTTAATCACAAAGATTTTTTCTGGAGTCAGGGTGAATAAAAAAATCTTTAAGTGCCTTCGATCATCCTTTTGTAAAGAAGAACTTTGCCTGTTTCACTCCTCCCCCCCCCCCCCAAATTTTTCTGAAGTACTAAAAGGTAATCTCCATCTCCCTCAATCTAGAACAGTCTGCCTGGGTCCTCATTATCATAATCATTTTTTTTATGTCCCAAATTTTGTCAGAGAATACATGCCATTTATTCTTTAAAGATTCCCCTGCAAGGGCTGGAGTGATAGCACAGCGGGTAGGGCATTTGCCTTGCACGCGGCCAGCCCGGGTTTAATTCCCAGCATCCCATATGGTCTCCTGAGCACCGCCAGGAGTTAATTCCTGAGTGCAGAGCCAGGAGTAACTCCTGTGCATTGCTGGGTGTGACCCAAAAAGAAAAAAAAAATTCCCCTGTAATATGGTCGTAGCACACAGATTTAGAGTTAGACAAATCTAGACTACCAGTGACCAGCTGAAGGATTTTAGAAAAATTAGTAACTACTGATGACTCATTTCCTGAGTGTAGAGGGTGAAGACTATCCCCACCACCCAGGTATGTTCTGAATAGTAAATGAAACTCTACACATACTTGGTTTTAGTGGGCAATGCATTCTGAGTGCAAGGAACCCAAGCCGAACCGAGGGAAACAAAGTAGATCAAAACATTCTCTACTCCAGGCCCAGGCGACCACCCGAAGAGCTGAGCACACATTCTGCATGCAGAAGGCCTGGGTTCAATCCCTGCCGCTGGTTGCATGGTTCCCTGAGCACTACTGGGAGCAAACCCTAAGCAGAGAGATGGAAGTAATCCCTGATCACCACTAGGTATGGCCCAGACATCAGATTTACCAAAAACCTTTTCTCTACTCTTAAAGAGGTGTTAGCTAGCCTGCCCTGTTCGTTCCATGTGACGATGAGATTATGACTCAGGCGCACTCTGAAGGTGGATTAGCCAACCCAAGGCATTCAAGGGGCTTTGGAAAAGCACAGAGATAGCTCAATTAGATTAAAACAATGTATTTCATGAGATGGGTAATAGTTTACAAAAAAGGTAACAGGTTCAGAGACAGCCCAATGTCACTGAACTAGTAAGCAATGGAGTCAAGATATTAAACAGGGATTAATTCAGATTAAAAAGCTTTAATTCTAATTTCCTGTGCTGTCCCCAGACTCGGGCTGGAGCAATAGCACAGTGGGTAAGGGGTTTGCCTTACACACGGCCAACCTGGGTTCGATTCCTCTTCTCTCAGAGAGCCTGGCAAGCTACCGAGAGTATCCCGCCCGCATGGGAGAGCTTGGCAAGCTCCCCGTGGAGTATTTGATATTCCAAAACCAGTAACAAGTCTCACAATGGAGACGTTACTGGTGCCCACTCAAGCAAATAGATGAACAACGGGATGACAGTGCTATAGTGCTACAGTTCCCAGACTCAGACACAAAAAAGAAAAGAGAAGTTGTTCTCTAAAGAGCCCTATTCTTTTCCCTGTGGGAATTATTTCCATAATATCCCCATTAGAGTTTTCAAGATGAAAGTTATGGAACTTCATGGATGCACTGTCAGAGGATCAAGTACTTGGGATGATACCCCAGCCCTCCAGGGGGGCTTCTTTGGAGTGTCTACTAGCTCCACAGACAAATGGATCATCGGTAACAGAACCTGATGGCTGAAGTCTAGGGCCTGTGACATTGAAAGAGAATGAAGAGACGTTGATTTTATTCAGAAGGGCTTGGTCAATCATCAAGACTAGAAAATAATTTAGATATCAGTCCTCAGGGCAAGGATACTGTAGGCATGAAAACGGCATTAGGTGTCTCAGCAGAGATCTTGAGTAAACCAAGGTGGAAGGAGCAGAATGGTCATGTCCATTCTGCCAGGCTAGACCTAGCCTGTGTCACCTCACGGAGTGTCTGGAAACAAGGGAAGGTGTTGCAGGACGTTCCTGTGGGGCCAGCCCCACACAGGGAAGTGTTACTCGGACAGTGGGCAAGTTTTAAGACTCATCCAAACTGCCAAATGCCATGGAAAATTGAAAAAAAAAAAAAAGAGTAGTCTTGAATCTTCATCCTGGGCGAGTGCCACGTGTCCAATTAGCCTGACGATATGATAAACTATGGAATCAAACGAAGTGACAACAGAGGAGCCCGAGGCGGTGGCTGCAACACCATAAACAAAGCTCCTCCTGGTTCCCTGGCTTCACTTGTCAAGGGCAGAATCCAGAAAAGGCCAAGCGAAAGTATAAAAATAACGGGCAGATGTAGACTGGACAGTTCAAGTGTAACTAGCGGGATTCTGCTTCAGGGCAGCTGCTGCCACACAAGGACTTGCCAACTCAAGAGTGTGGGGGGAAAGGTCTGGAATAATTTCTAGGGCTGACTCTTCACTCAGTTAGGACAGGCAGCTCCCAGGCAGTGGAGGACGACTGCAGCTTCACACACACCAAGAGGAAACAGCTCCCAGGAACTGGGTCACATCCTTAATAGGAAGAACTCTCTGGGCCTGACCTAAGGTCCTGTTTTAGAACATTTACTGCCTGCGTGAGCTCCATGCAGCATCTCGAGAGAAATACTTCTGCAACCAGGACAACCTGCTCTCAGCGAATGTAAAAGAACTGCCAAAAGTCTGATTCGTCGCCTTCTAAATTCAAGAGAGACGGGACATACAATGATCCTCAGGAGACAATGCCTCTTTTCCTTCCTGCAGAGGTAACGAAACCCCAGCACTAGGGGGAATCACCAGCTGAGAATATTTCCGGGCCCAGTGCAAGTGTGGAGGGTCTCACATAAGAGACTGGGACAACCACTCTTCTCTCCCACAGCACCCACTCCCCCTTCCTACTCTCCTTTCATGGTCGTAAGCCTTGGGAAAGCTTGAATGAGATCTGGGAGTCGGATGGGGTTAGGATCAGGTTGAGAACCATGGTTGGTTTTCACTCATACCCACAGCCCCATAAATAAGATGCTGCAGGGATTCATTCGTCAGCTATGTGACAAGATACTTTTGGGCCTGAGATAAAGAGAAAGACCTGGAGCACAGGCTGTGTGTGAGGGCGGCGTGGTCCCAGTCCTTCGCCTTGCACGGTCCCCCTACCAGTGCTGGGGAGTAATTCCCCACTCCCAAACACCACGCCAGGGGTGCCTTCGAGCACTGCTGAATGTGGTCCAAACAAACAAAACACCACATATTTATTAACAAGCAAACACTGACATATTAGCCAGGCACTGCACTAGGTGCTTGGGACAGCAGGCCGCCTCTATTCCGATCGACTATGGTGCCACCTACCTGCTGGAGACTCATGACTCAGCATGTCAAAGGGGGTCATCTGTGGCTGCTCATATTCTCACAGGACATGGGCCCGTGCTCTGCAGTGACGGGAGCAGTTGGGAAGAGCACTCTGCATCAGAGTCCCCAACACTGCTCTTTCTTACTTTGGTTCCCCTTATCGAATGTTACTGGATACAGGAGCTAGGGTGATAGTACAGCAAGCAGGGCGTTTGCCTTGCATGTGCTTGACCCAAGTTTGATCCTGGGTATCCCATATTGTCCCCTGAGCACTGCCAGGAGTGATTCCTAAGTGCAGAGCCAGGAGTAACACCTGAGCATTGTCGGAAAACAAAACAAAACAAAACAAAAAAGAGTTAGTGGATGTTTTTGGTGACCTTTCTCTCTCTTTTTCAGAAGAATATATTTCAGTTTCTTTTCTGATTTACGTTCCTTTACATAATATTAGCTCAAGTCATTCCAGATGTGCTCATTCCGCATCTACCCAAGCCTGGACCTGCCATTCTCTTGATAGCTAAGAAAAGCACCAAGTCAGGAACTGTGTGAGTGCTGTGATATCTCGGCAGAGGAAATCTGAAGATGCACCAACCTCACAAAAAAACATGATGATGCCAAGCTTGATGTCCTTAGAAACATTCAGAATATCACCCGGGACATTAACTGTCTCTCCTCAACCCTCCTATGCCTCTGCATTTTTCCCCCCCTCCCTGTTCATGTCAGAGATAAGACAGCTGCTATGTTTCCCCATGCTTTCACACAGACTGGGACGTGTGGATAAAACAGAACCATTGCATGATGAGAGACATGTCCACGTGGGACGAGGCCTG